AACACTTCAATGCTTTTTGTTGATATAGCTTCAACAATAATGTTGTTCTCACTGCATGACATAAGCTATGTTCTTTAGTTTAGTCTATAGCTACTTGGCTATATATGCCGGCGCCAAATCTAAGCATCCATTTATGGTTCATGTAATGCCATTATTACATGCATAACCTTGTTGTATGCGTTTATATATGTGATCATGACACTATATGATCAGGTCATACTGCTGATTTGATTGAGTATTTTACCTTGCTAGCATTCCAAATGAAACTTAGTAACTTTATTGGTTGTATATAGGGAATAGATCTAGCTATATACCATGTACTGAAAGGATTGTTCAGCTTATTGTCATAAAAAGTATAGTGAAAGATAATGAGAACTGAGAAGTGAGATAAGATTGAAGATCAAGAAGGACTAAAATAAATGTATAGAAAAAAATTCTGAACTTGAGAAGAAAAAGAAGACAAGTAGTAGATTTATTAGGAACAAATGGATTTCAAGAAACTAAGTTCTGTTTTTACATCATATGATACCACATTATTATCATCATCATCATCACAATTATATTATTCATAGTTGTAATACTAAATCATTTCAGCCAAATAATACTGAAATGAGATGAAATTGTAATTTTGTAGAATAATGAAAATTCAGCAATTAAACTTAGCAACAGTGTATCCTATCTAATCAAATTCCCTATTCATATTTTGAATCTTCAGGCACAATGTCCCATTTAGCCTCAATCTACTCAGAACTGAGTTGAATGTATAGAAGTATTAGACTAGAAATTATGTAACATTGTAACAGAGCGAGGAAACTGAGTTGAATGTATAGAAGTATTAGAGACTAGAAATTATGTAACATTGTAACAGAGCGAGGAAATTGCAGCCTCAGAATATTTAAAGCAGTTGGAAACTGGCAAATCAGATGGCTATAAAATAGGTGTGGTAATTGTGGATATAGACGTATAGAGAGCCTCTAGACCTTTCCCGCGATGAATATTCATGAGAATTTATGAGTCATCAGTGCATCATGATGATGATAAAACCACACCTACTAGTGGGACAGAAAAGTGAATCTTGTACCTAAATGGACTGGTTTTTCAGCTGCTCTTAGTTTTTTCCCTTATTTTAATGCCGGTTAATAACTATTGTATTGGTGGATACTATAATTGTGATGAGAAACACCAGTTAAGACTCTTAAGCTCTACTTTCAAAGGGAGGCTAGTCCTGAAAAGGTGGATCAAGGGTGCAAATCCTGTCAAATGGAATCTAGGCCTAAACACACATCCTAAAGGTTCAGATATTCGAGCTTCTCAGGTTAAATTTCAGCACAAGCTTTTGCAGTAAGATTAAGAGCCTCAGAGTCTCAGATCGTCCCACAAGTAGGCGTGATTTTCGTCATCATGAGCTTTGATGACTCATAATCGCTCTTTATTTAGAATAAATTCTAGTAAATTCTCGTAAATCTATTTGAATTTTCATGAATAATTCATTGCTGGAAAGGTCTATAAATAGTCAGTTTGAACTGGTGAAAAATTAATTTTAAGTATTAATTTTTTGCCTCATAGCTAGCTCCTCTATTCTACCGACTACTGAGTTAAGATGCAATCACATGTGCAAATGATTGTGAGTTGTTAATTCTCTATAATTATCTTGAAACTATAGTGGGGATGCTGAAATCTCTAGCACAAATTTTTGGACTCGCCACGCTTGTTGCCCACACCGTACCGTATGCGTATAGGCGAGGGTTCTGCGCTCGTCATGTCAGTGTACGTGTGTGTGTGTGTGTGTGTGTGTGTGTGTGTGTGTGTGTGTGTGTGTGTGTGTGTGTGTGTGTGTGTGTGTGTGTGTGTGTGTGTGTGCTCGCAAGATGGCTCAGTTCTTTTTCTCTGTTTTTAAATCCTTGCTGCTCTTTGCTCAGGTCCTATGGAGCCCTACTGTCAACTAAAATGATTGCTAAAAGTAGTTTTTCTTCAGTTTACTTCTTCATTCGTCTTCTCCTAGAAGCATGAGCCAGTAATGTTGCTAAACGTAGTCAGGATTCCGGGTAACTCTCTCATGCAATAGAACTGACACATCAAACGATAGATTGAAATTTTTATTGATTTTAAGTGTGTGAAATTTGTCTTAAATTCTTCATTCCTGAGATATGGTAGCTCAAACATCGCTTACCGCAACTGTTTACACGAGGTCCTATTCTCCAGGAAGAGCTGTCAGAGTCTTTTAAACAGTAGATTCTTACTGTCAAGTTTGTATACAACAAATAGAGCCTAATTATTGTGTCATAAACTGTGTATAAGTGTAGAAAATTGAAGCTTTTTATTAGTAACTGCCCATTGGTGTAGCTATGATGTAGGTGATGCTTAATTTGAGCCTCACCTTTTATTCCAGCCACACCTTCAATTGCTGCAGCAAAGCAATACAAGCTGAGCAAGCTAACATATATAGTAACAGCAAGTCAGCAGAATTCTCTCTATAATTTCTGAAGAACAAATTAATGTTTCACCTTTGTTATGTTACACTGATTGTGGCGAGGGCATGTGCTATAAGGCACTCGTTGGACTCGCCACGCTAGCGTAGGTGGGTACCATGCAGTTGGGTTGTCATTGTGTCACGAAAATTTCTGTTAATTTCTGGTCAATATTTTTTTTACTGAGCTCTCCTGAGTTACAATTCTTTTAAAGCTTTAAGAAAATGGTGATTTATTTAGCTTCGTTATATTTTAGTTTCAATCGGGTAGCAAAGCCTGAATGTTTTCAAGAATAGACCACTTTTCCTAGCCAAATCTTCGTGTTTCACTCTATTTTGTCAGGATTTGCATTGATAGATAGAGAAAAGTACATAGATTAAAAATGTGTGGGATTTTCTTACTCTTTTTTGTTTGTGAGTTAAGCCTAGTACACAATATCAGCCTTGTGACTGAAAGTGTTGTACAAACCAATGGCACGCGCGTCAATAACGCAAGAGTTGAACTTTGGTCGACTCATGTGTTAACTCGCATTGTTTGTACAGCACTTCCGGTGCTCTTCCTGTCCCAATGCATGATATTGTGTACTAAGCCTTACAGTTACTCAAAGTTTGTGATTTAGCCTCTTTTAAAAATTTTCAGGCGGCACTGGGGAAAGCAAGAGCAACCAAACTCTCTCAGTCTCTTTTAAATATCTAGGCAACAGTTTTGTGCCAACTTTTTCTTAGAATAGAGCTTCAGATGCTAAAATGAATTTCAGCTTTTCTTGTTTCTCCTAGCCACATGCCATGTTTATCTGCATGCTGACCAGTGACCACACCTATAGATTATTTTATGGATCAGTGCAGTAATTATTGAATTGTTGCAGTTTACTCAAAATCGATTATCTTTTTTCAATATTAAGCTGCTTATATATAATATCACCATGGGGGCAGTACAAGTAACACATTATCGCTCAGGTGAACCTCAGCAGGCGAGTTCACGCACCATTGGTGCTTCATTTAATATGCTATAGATGTTATATGAGTAGATGCATGGGTAAAGCTGAATTGGAACACTGGTGATGAAACAGTAAATGATAGAATATAAAAAAATGAATTCTGCAGTTAACATCCCAGGGTAGGAAATAAACAGGAATTGAGTGAAGGACTCTCTATAATATTTTGTAGCTAATTATAATGATAATGAAATAAAAAATCCCATTTTGTTTCTGATCACCATGAACTTTTCCCCCTTGCTAGCCAACCATTCTCCAGCCTACAGTCATTGGATTGGATGGGCCACCCAAATGACTATTGACTGGGTAATGGTCTGCGAGGCCAGTGCTGAGACTACATTAACAGCACATTTTATGCTACATGTAGCTGCTTCTTGTAAAAATAGTTTTGTTGTACGTGTATCTTTTTTTTATTCTAGTTAGTCTCTTTGGTATTTTCTCTCTCTCTCATGCATAGGATTTTGCAAGTTATACAACTTTGGATGAAACCATAACAATTGATCCCATTCCAGCCAAGAGTATATATTATATTGGTAAATTAAAATACAATTTTATGCACATTTGAAATGTCCATGAAACTACCATATACACAGCAAAAAATTTTGTTTAAAACTACCCTTAGAGAATTACCTCAGTTCCGGAAGTCTATTGTTTAGTGAAACTGAGGTAAGCACCCATGGGTTATTTTAACTACATATTTTTTGCTGTGTAGCGGGAAATTTTGGAGGAAATTAGATTTGGTGAATCGGCGTTTTGATAGCAATTTGCCAAAATAAAAATCCACGATTTTTAGCAATTATATGCATTGCACATGCTCAATGGCATGTGGCCACAAAATTTGCCAAATTAAAATCCGCCAACCACCCAAAATTTTATAATTTGCCAAATTTTGCTCCCTCCAAAATTTCCTGCTATACGGTAATTTGCCATTAAAAATAAGTAGATTGATACCCCTGGTCGCCTCCTATAACAGAAAAGATAAAGGCCCTTTTGAGTTGACAGATTGGCTGATATAAGGCTGAATTTGTTTTTAAAAGTTAGAAGCAATAAAACAGATTTCTATTCTTGGCAACGCATTACTTACAGGATCAAAGTAGCTAGCCAAATTTGTTGCTTGTAGCAACTACTATGAAATTGTTGTGATAGGCATAATTTACCATGGTATTCAATTATTCATATTTATCATTGAATCACCAATTACTATGTATGGCAATTGGTGACTAATGTAACTTTTAAAATTGTAAGTCAAGATGGCTAAGCAGAAAACAATGCAAAAACCCCTATTTGCAACATGCTGCCTAATGTATGTATAAGAGGCTTTATGTATTAAAATGTAAAAATATAACAATTTTTGAATAACTTGTTTATACTGTATAGTGCAAAATTTTAGAGGGCTGTAAATTTTGCAAATTTGCTTTCGCCATAGATATATTTTTGGTTTCACAAATTTATGCCGTACTTTTGCAGAATAAATTTTGTGAATCTTCAAAGAATCACAAAATCTGTGTAATTTAGAGACTCTGAAAATTATGCTCTATATGGCACCTTGCTTCATTGAGTTACTCATTGTCAATCTAGATCAGCTTCACAAAGCTTGCAAGAATGGTAACTCTGGTGATGTTAATACACTGTTATACACTACAGGAGTGGATATTGATGCTCCTGATAATGACGGACATACACCACTTCATCATGCTTGTGAGGTCGGTAGCGAAAGAATTGTTAAGCTTCTTATTCAAGAAAAAGCCAATTGCTGTAAACGTGACAATAAGATGCGTACACCACTTCATATTGCTTGCTTGCGTGGTCATCATGAAGTGGCCAACACAATCTTATCATTATGCAATAAAAAAGACATAAGGAAAATGCTAAATGCTGTAGATTGTAATGGCTATACACCACTTCATACAGCAGGTAATGAAAGAATTGTGAAATTGCTACTGGAAAAAGAAGCTGATGTTACCAAATGTGATAATAAAGGTCTTAATCCTCTTGAAGTTGCTGTAGAAGAAGGACACGAGTGAGAATAATTATTTTGACTCAACACTAGATTATAGCGAAATAACAATATTTTTTCTATTTTAGAGATGTTGCAATGGCTATAGTGAATAGTGAGCACTGGCAGGAAGCATTACGTAATTATACTTCTACTACACCCAATAAATTTCAATGGTGTCCATGCATTAACAATAAGGAAACTCACACAACACCAATGAGAAGGATAATTAAGAACATGCCAGGTTGTAGGCTATATAACTAATGTATATTAGATTTACATACATTTGTTCTACTTTAGATGTAGCTAAAGTTGTTTTTGATCGCTGCTGTGAGATAGATAAGTCACCAGATTACTATGAGTTTCTTGAGGATTTTGATCTGTAAGAATAGTAATTCTAAATAAATTGTCAAAGCAAATAATGCATACTGTAGCTCTAATACTGGTGGACTAAAATGGCCTCCAAAATTAAAATACTCTAGTCAGAATCATTGCCTTACTATTCTTGTAAGTAATTATATTCCTTATTATTATACATGTAATTATTGTTTGTATAGGCTGACTCACCAAGTGCAAAATTATTGAGCCACCCACTTGCCCATACACTTCTTAATCATAAATGGAATACATATGGGCAAATATTTTATTATGCTAATGTGATATTTTATTTTCTGTTTGTCCTTTTGCAAACATCATTTGCTCTTTCTGTCCATTCACCAAGTTCAGGCAAATGTAAGTTTATAAGTAGTTTATTAATTATTGTTTCAATAAATTACATTAGGTTATCAGGTATTTGGATATAATAATGACACATTTATTGATTGCTTTCCAGGTATAGTGAATAATAATTATTTCAGTATAATTATCATGTTACTATTATCTGTTCAGAGGAAAGTCTTGTACCTCAAAAATTCATATCTTTTGCTAGTCCTTGTCTGATAGTTTGCTCTACAATCATGATATTTCGAGAAGCATTTCAACTTGTCTGGTTCAAACTGCAGTATTTTACCAATGTTATTAGCTATCTTGAAGTTTTGTTATTTATCTTCACAATAATATTTGCATCAGTCCATAGCAGTGAGTGCTATTGTACTCATCCATTGCAGTGGCAGTTTGGAGTGACAGCTTTATTTCTCAGTTGGATTATACTTATACTCTCAACGAGGAAGCTACCAGTTATTGGAATATATGTGGTCATGTTTGTTAGAATTTTCAATAATTTTATGAAGGTTGTCATCTTTGCTTTACTATTAATCTTAGCCTTTGCATTTCCTTTTTATATGACGTTTTATGATGCTCAAGACAGATCACAAAAAATTGTAAGACATAGCTATAATATTGATAATAGCAATATGACAATCCTTGTTTTAACTCATTGTTCTTGTCATCTTTATGTCTCTCTATATAGCGTACCCCATTCATCACTCCATGGAGGTCAATTTTTAAAACAATAATAATGACAATGGGAGAATACGATATGGATTCAGTATTGCAACAGAACAATGAAAGGAACTCAGCTGATACACGGTATCCAGTGTTTGCATTTTCGTTATTAGTTGTGTTTGTGATTTTAATGCCAATCCTATTTCTTAATCTATTGGTATGTTCATACTATAAACTCCATTCACTGACCGACTCATTTTATATAGATTGGTTTAGCTGTTGGTGACACTGAAGAAATACGAAAATCAGCTGATACTCACAGACAAATTCTGAAGGTAAAAACTATTACCAATTACCAGTACTGCATGTAGTATACAGAGTTTCGTCATTTTAAAATATCACCTATCAGAGTTTAATGAATATGTAAACACAGCCAGCAAACCAATTTTCAAGCTAGGAATAAATGAATACATTATGATAATTTATTATTATGTAATATAGTTTGCTAATACTATTTTACCTTTGCTGTCTTGAGCCACTTGGTCATTTGGTACTAAAAACAAATGGTTTTCTGATTCTTTTTAACAACTGAGTAGATTTCCAAAATGTGGGACAGAAATAATAATTAAAAATAGCACTAATGTCAATGGTAAAAGTAATGTTTTGCAAATTTTTATAATAAGTAACTCATAATTTTGTAACAAAGAGTATGCTCATGATAAATTATAACAAATTGTACCTGCCAATTGCCAATATTAATTTCTTGACAATGTAGCACTCTTTTACAATATACAATAAAGCGACAACCACAGGCATAGGCTATAATAACACATATCGCTCATACACAATGTTCCTTTATTATTTTATATTTCAGTAAAATACCGTATAGGGGATACATTTCCCAAGAAAAGTAATTCACAAAAATTACCTTTCAACCTATTCACAAGATAAAATTTTGCATTTTTCTTCTACTGACCATTATTAGTATGATAAAAAATAATTTTTATAGATAAAAATTTTCACAAATTTTTAAAAGCACAAAATTAGCAAAATTAAATCCCCATGAAATACCTTAGAGTGACTTTTAATTGCGGGTACTAAATTTTGCAATTTTAGCACAAGGTAGATTTTGCTGGTATTAAAAATTGTGATTAAGTAATTATTACTAATAGTTATATGGCATCATGATGTCATTATTAATAATTGCGCGTATTAATAATTGCGATTTTTAACCCAAACGCAAAATTCGCAACTAATAGTACCCGCATTTAAAAGTAACCTTAAGGTATACCCTATACTGTATGTTATATAGGTCAAATTTACACTACCTATTGAAGGAGTCCTAAGACCTGTGATAGGTGCAAGATTAATAAAGAAATTGGATTCGCTTAAGAAAGAAGTAAAACCAAATGCCCCAAATAAAAGTTGCTGGAAGCATGTCTTTGATTATGTTACCTGGACTGAAAGACATTATAAAACAGAACCTCCAGTGAGTGAGCACATAAACCTGCTCTTTTATTGTGTTTCAATATAGGCAACGGTAGCAGATGTTAAAAGCCAGAACAGACCATTAGCTAAGGAAATTAAAGACCTTCGCAGTTCAGTATTTCAAGAGGTGAAGGACCTACGCAGTTCAATGGATCAATTGGTACATATCGTTACCAGTATGAATGAAAACAAAAAGGGAGAGGATTAGAGCAATAGAACTAGTCTTTGAAAAGGAGGAGAAAGGAAAATTAACCTTTAACTTTATTAATAGAAATTATTTAGTATGGCATTATACTAGAATGCTGAATTTTTTATTTTTCGTTTGTTTTTGCATGTCCCTTTCATTATCTACTTGTATTACTTAGTATTTGCTCCTTAGTTTTATATTTTGTGTGCCCCCTTATTCATTCGATCTATGTTCTTAATTGTGATGTGATCCACGCAACCACATGTCATTCAGTGATTTGTGAATATTATGTGTGATAAACTGGTATTACTATTATTATTATTATTATTATTATTATTATTATTTGTAGTAAACTATTTAGTGTTAGTTTAATGTGGTTTTAATTAGTCTGTACAGTTATGTAATTTTTGTAAACCACATCCTGCGGAGTGTTAATTGTCCGTGTATTTAAGGTTGAACAGTTGAACAGTTATTGTTAGTTTTTTTGTTGTTAATAATACTTTCTAAGTGAAAACATTTCTGGCGACGAGGAACAGTTTTGAGCTCACGTATCATGGCTAGAGTAGTTGATAATCTGGAAACCTTTGATCCCAAGAGACACAACTGGTTTGAGGTTACTGTAATGTTCTAATTATACACTAATTTTGTAATTTTTTCTTAATGAGAAGTTGTTGACACATTGTAAAATTTATCATGGTGAATTGTTCCTGGCTATTGCATCTCTGCTTATATCTACTTTAATCCTAGAAACAGCTCGTTCATAATTGGTCCACCGTCCCGGACATCGTTCCTTACACTTTGTTTTAGCTGTTACTTCTTGCCAGCAATTACTGTTTCTTCAACAATATGGCGGATGATCAAGACACGATAGGAACCACGCCGCCAACTAGGAATTCCTTATCACTCAAGAGGAGAAGAAGGGTAGTACGCAGTTCTATCACACGTCTGGGTACGCGCCTGAGAGAACTGGAAGATGCCAGAGATCTTCCCACTACTCCAGCTCATGCTGAACAACTAGAGTACATTATCAATGATCGTACACCATCAATTTTCGGACACTTGTTTTAGGAAAACTATACATTGCCATCTCATGAAACTGCAAAGTATTATAGCAATAGTTATCCTTTATTTGCGTGACAAAACTTGTAGCTCTAGCAAGAGTGCATAGAACGTTATAAGCTCTCAAAGCGTGGTGCCCGACAATACCAATGATCGGCCAAAATTCTCAATCTTCGGACTGTCATTTCTG